AAAATAAAATTTGAAAAAAAAATCTGTAAAAATCAACGAAAGGCAAACTAACTAATACTAATTTTACACAATTTAAATATAAGTTCTAATTTTTAACAGAATATATATGCTTTAACATACTACACAACGTTGGTTGGCCGCGTAGTAGGTGGTTGCGCACTCGGCTTCGTCATCATATCAACGGCATTTTTGAACAGCTGCGTTTTAACGAAATCTGTAGCCGCCGAATTGAGGTCCTTATTTGCACCGAAATTACACTTAATATAGCCAAACAAATTGGCGCCATTAAGTGCAAGTGCAATCATCACCAGCAGTAACCATTTGAATTTCAAACCGAAAAGTGCCACCAAGAAGAAGAGGCCCCAACACACGGGAAATAGTATTAATCCTAACCAGAAAACGCGCGCCTCATTGTTGTTTACACGCCCCTTTTTAGATTCGAATACCCAATGTGATACACCTTCATCGTCTACGTAATTCCACCAGCGTAGTCCGACCAGCAAACGACCAGTAATATTCTTGACAGTCCAAAAATCTGCTGACAGAAATAGCACCACAAAAACAAAGCTGGTTATGAAGGAGTCACTGAACCAGCTGCAGAACATGTATATAACTACAGCAGCGCCGCGGAAGAAAAGGTGGAAAAAGGTAACGTAAGGATGTCTACAGGATTAATTGATTTAATTATTTCCTTTATATTTCATTTTAAAAGTATATGTAATTTCTTACGCGTATTTTTTAGTGCCTTCACTTGGATCACGCATTTCATCCTCCTCGCCGAATGGAATCGTATCATCCTCTAGCAGTGGCACCTACAATAAGCAACACAATTTTGTAGCGCAAAAGCGCGAATGGAATTAATAGCGTTGAAGTGATTCATAAACAGGTCAGTTAGTAAAACCAATCCTGTCGAGTTAGAGGAACGGAAGCATGCAAACCTACATTTCTTACCGTAGCCGAAGCCATTTTATGCTAGTTTTTAAGTACTGCTTTACTGGAATGCAATTGTTGCGCCGATTGATACAATTTTACTTGCTGGTGCAAAGAAAATTTATTATTTACACTTCAGCCACTTGTCTTGCTTACGTTTGATTTGACACTTGACACTTTATTTGACATAATTTGGACCGAATGTCAGCCCAAAGCAAATAAGCTATACTATCGGAAGTACAAGGTGCCTGTACAACTGTTTTCCAATGCATTACCGGAAGTACAAGGTGTTTACCGAATCGGTTAGGGACCAAAATCCTCGGTTAAGGGCCCTACACACGCACTGATTAAACGGAAAACAAGTTCCCACCCGACCAAGAAACGTATCTTAGCGGATGTTACATGTTTTATGATAGTTTCTCTTACCGGCCGTCTTCACATGCTTAAAAATCTCGCTTGCGTTCTGCTATAGAGTTTTGTTGACAGGGCATTTGACAGCATACTTTTTCATTGCTAAAATGTCGCCAAAAGCCTGGTATACAGTTCAATGCGAGCGTGAGCGTGAGCTTTTTATTTTGACCAATATCTTTGTTTTTACTCAACTTTTTGCTCTCACATGCGTCGTCATGCAAGCGAGATTTTCCAGCACGTGAAGACGGCCGGTTACCCTCGAGCTCCGCCTCGCCAAAGAATCTCGTATTTCAAACAGAATTTTCTATTTTCGCTTCTATATTCGTTAATTTTTATGGAGAATGTATTCGTTTTATAAATTTT